CCAGGGGGAAAGTCCATGTACAGAGAAGCATCCATCCCTCATGACTCAGTTACACAGCAGCATTGCTTAACCATCACTCTCCATGCTTCCAACCACTGACAACGAACTTTGCTTCCTCCTTCCCAGAAGAGATGGAAGGCACCTGGTTCCACGTCTCCCACCCGTGTCATTATACACCTTCTCACCTACCCTCTCCTTGGGCTTCCTGGACATTGCATTGAGCTGGTTCTCCTCCTCCACTTTGGCCCTCTGCTTCTGTGTCTGTATTTCCTTCTACTCACCCCAGGGCTGGCTGCTGTTCCCCGAATTAATCCTTATTCCTGTGCACTCGTTGTTCCCTTTCTGCAGCTAGTTCTCCACTCCTACAGCTTTAATTATTCTTAATTGATATTCGGCCTTTACCTCTCTCCCAAATCCTAGATCTATAATCATCCCCTGGCTATTTCCTCTTGGATCCCTTATTTCCTTATCTCTGCTGGTGGCACTATTGTCCTTCCAAGCACAGAATGTGGGTGCAATCTTTGACTTTTCCTCCTCTTCTATCTTTAATATCCAATCAGTTTCAAAGTTCTATTCAAAACCACTTAAGTAAAGCTCATGTCACCTAAAGCTTTAACTGACTACCTAATCCACTCACCTATATTCTCTTCTGCTGGCATAATCCTCCTTAACACAATTCTCATGAAGCCCCTCCTGGGCTCAGGAACCTATGAAGGCCTACAGCATCCCAAATTCTAATTGTACAACCCAAGATCTTAAAAAAAAAAAAACATGTCTTCCCCCCACCTCCAAAGCACTCTATCTCACTCCTCCACACAACGTTCTTGTCACAGGCTCCTCAGTGGCCCAGGATGCCTTCAAACAAAAACTGCTCACTAAACATGGATCAGCTAGGTGATAGATAAGACACTGGATAATCCAGCTTTAAATGGACTGCCAACTGCAAACATTATTCACACAGAGCAACTCACTGATAAAAAATACACATCTTTAAAAGGGAAGATGCACAAAATATAAAAGCCATAAACAGGTATTTGATCCCAATATATAATGAAATATGCTTAAAACATTTAAAACAAGGGGAAAGCAAAATGGCAAAAGCAACATTATCAAACTTAAGGTGTCAGAGTTTTAGAAGGCAGGTGCCAGTCAATGAGTGAATGCACTCTGCTCATTATCTGCAATGCCTGGGAGTCCCCTTGGACCTGTGGATTGGGTAGGAAGGGCATCACTGGGACCCTCCTGCTTCTGGTAGGTGGCAGGTCCTATCTATAACCCCCAGGTTTCCACAACAGGGCACCCACAAGGCCTCCCTCATGCAGAGGTGAGCACTGCTGGTTGAGCAGGGCAGACTGCAGACAGAGCCAGAGAGGGCTGGCACAGAACGTCGTCCTGCTTGCCTTCTATCAGGTACTCTCAAATCATTTTGTCTTTTTTAGAAGTAACAGGGAAAAGATGGGAGAAAGGGGAGGGAAGGAGGAGACATTAAAAAAGTAAAACTCTCGGTGTTCCAATGAAGGTTTAAAAGAAGACAATGGTGTGCCCCTGAATGAAGGTTTCAGTATTCAGAGGCCAACTTACCTCTACTTTTTCTACTACTTGCTTCCCAAAGGAGCAAACTTTGGTGGAGCAGGTGACAGTCATGTTTTCAGAACTCTCATACTGACTGGTTACACCATAAAAAGCCCCAGCATCATCTTGAATATTGCAGTTTAAATCCGCCTGTTGGAAAGAAAATGGAGGTGGGGATTATTCTCATCCCAGGAGTCATCGCAACAAGCAGTAACTGTCAGGGTACGACCTCCATTTGGAGTTGAGTAGAGAGCAGGAGTGGCTCAGGGAGGTGGGGTGGTGATGCTTATCTAGAAAAAAATCATTCACCAGTCAAATTTTGAAGTGGGTGCTAATTTGAGCAGTCTTCCCTTGAGATGACATGTTACATATATCTATTTCATTTTACTTTCATGCATTTACTATCAGAATGCTGTACCCTTGCAATAAAAGATCCATGAGATCTTTGAAAGAAAACAGTATATGAATCAGTTTCATATTCACTTCTCTCTAGAGATTTTTAAAACAACAGGAGAATCTGCAACTAGTGATTTGTTACACGCATAAAAACAGAATAGTAAAAATTACAGGATCTGGAGTGGAAATGGTTCCTACTAAAAACTGGCTTACAAAATTCTCAACAATTAATGCAAATTGTCACTCATTTAACACATTTTTAAATTGAGTATCTGCTATGCACTATATGAGACTTAACTGCAACCGAATATGTGAGATATGTAAATAAAATAACTATAATTCAGACAGAAAATAAGAAACATGTCAAGAGTACTCAGAGTTCAGACAACTAGAGGCATTATTTAAGAGGATGTTGAGAAAGAGATATTTACACAGGAACTGTTAAGACTTGGACATGCAGAGACGGGCTGAGGGGATAGTGTGGGCAGAAGCCTGAGGGGCTTCATTCCATCTACTGTGTAAGGACTAAAGAAAACCAGTTGCCATCAAGAAGACTCCAACTCATGGTGACCCCATGCTTGTCAGAGTAGAACTGCGCTCCACAGGGTTCTCAATGGCTGATTTTTCAAAGCAGACTGCCAGGACTTTCTTCCGAGGCACCTTTGGGTGGACTTGAACTTGCAACCTTTCGGTTAGTAGCAGAGAACCTTAACCATGTGTACTACCCAGGGACTCTAAGGACTAAGGAGACTGGGAGAAACACAATTTGGGTTCAGATCAAAGAGTGCTAAACAAGGGGTGTGGACTGTATCCGTAGGAAATGGGGACCTCTTGAAAGTTTTGAGCAAGGAAGTGACGTGATCAGTGTTGTCCTTCAGTGAGAAATCTCTCAGCATGGTGTAACAGACATTAGTGAGGCAGGCTGAGAGGCTGCTGCAGGTCTAGGTTGCTGACTGATAGCTCCCTTCTTTTAAATACCTACTGATCCCGACTATACCCCAGGCACTGTGTCTGCAGCTGGGGCTACAATAGTGAGCAAAAGCTGAACCAATCCCTGCTCTCATGGGGCTTATGCTCTAGTAAGGAAGACATTACAACAGAGAGATGCATTCCTGATGGAGATACCAGCACAAACAGCAGTGATGAGAGGGATCCCACAGGTCCAGGACCTCTAACAATGCAAGGTGATTTTTCAGGCAGGCAGGGCATTCCCCAGCAAAGAACAGGGTTTAAAGGGTACATGTCAGAAAAAAGGGCTAAAAAAAGGCCAGAACAGAGAAAGCAAGGGAGAGTGTGGCAGAAATGGCTCAGGGGTAGGAGGATTTTGGTCTTATATCAGCTATCAGACAAGTCAGAATCGACGCGATGGCAATAGCTGATTTGTTTTTTATGGGACACAGGAATTGGGAGCAGGAAATGGGATGGGAGCAGTGAGAGGGTACGATCAGATCTGCACCCCCAAAATCACCTCTGACCACAGCCCGGAGAGGACTCTGGAAGACAGCATGAATGAATGTAGAGAGAGACATCAGGAGGCCATTGTAACAGTCCTATCAGAGATGATGGAGCCCTGGTGGCATAGTAGTTAAGAGCTCAGCTGCAAATCAAAAGGTCGGCAGTTCAAATCCACCAGCTGCTCCTTGGAAACCCTATGGGGCAGTTCTACTCTGTCCCGTAGGTTGGCTATGAGTCGGAATCGACTCGACAGCAGTGGGTTTGATTTTTTTTTTTTTTAAATAAGAGATGATAATATTTGAACTATTGTGGTGGTTATTGAGAGAGGTGGGTAAATTTGATACTCAAACGACTTTGTACTTTGTGATGTCTGAAACATTCTGATTAGCTAATTTTAATACATTGGTGAGCACTAACCACCAGGAGAATTCAGCACAGATTTTAAGAAAATTACCTGAGTCATCCTACATACATATTTTTAATAAGGATCTGTACCTGAATTTCCTTTTTGAATTGAGTATCAGGAAAACATCCATCTCCTCAGGCAAAACTGGACTCAAATAAAGAGAACCTTCTACTCTATATTTCCCTTTTCACCTAACATGCCAAGAAATTCAAAGTTAAATTTAGTGCTCAACTGAAGTCATTAACTTATTCCAGGTGTTTCTAACAGCGGCTAACAACCAGTGTACAGCTCCTTTTATTTGTTTCCAATCTGCTTTTACTTGTACTTGTCTATAAATTTTGTAAGATTCCTCATATTTTGCTTTTTTGGAATTATATGGGGCATAAATCCTGAACAAACAAAAATACCCAGGTGTGCATTTTTCTCAGATTTAAAGGTTTAATGGTTGGCTCCATAAAATTGCAGCTAGGTGGTAAAGGATACATGTCTTCTCTCTATCTGCATCCAAGCTACTCAAGGCCAAGAGTGGCTGGGTCTACTGGAGCTTCCTTCAGCTTCCAGGGCAGAAAGGCTAGCAAGTACCGCCCATTCATCCTAGGCACACAAGGTGCTCTGAACACTGGAATTATCACCAAGTGTTCCACAGAGCAGTCGTTATGGAGTTTCTCACGGCATGCACTAGAAACGGGTCTTCAAGAATTTGCCACTGCCTTTTTGCTATCTTGAAATAACATCTCTCAGGAACGTGTCTTAGGTGTTTTGCAGTAATGGATTATTGGTGACATTCTTCTTAACTGTGGGATTTATGCTCTTGCTATTATAAAGTAACTCATGCCAAAAATTTTTAGCACTTTTTCAAAAGCAAAAACATGCATATGGTTATAAGGAAAATAACTGTAACAAGAGTATACAGTTTTATTATTATCTATGAGCTAGTCAACCTGCCCAGAGGTCACCAGTGTTACCTGCTTCATGAGTGTCCTTTTAGTGATATTCCAGCATATTCAAACATATATACTTTTTTGCACAAACAATTACATATTATATTTTTTTCTGAATCATTCTTTTTTTTTAAAAAAAAAGTATATACCTTAGAGATCATATAGTACTGTTATGGGATTTCAGTATTCGAAAGAATTAAAAAAAAAAGCCATTCTTTTTAGTGGTTGCATACTATTCCATTGCTCAGATGCACCATAATTTAAAAAGATAATTTTTTTTGTCATTGAGAATATACGCAGAACATACATCAATTCAACAATTTTACATGTACAATTCAGTGACATCGATTACATTCTTAGACTTGTGCAACCACTCTCTCTCCTTTTCTGAATTGTTTCTCTCCCATTAACATGAACTCACTGCCACCTAAGTTTCCTATCTAATCTTTAAGTTCAGATGCACCATAATTTAATATGTGCCCTACTGATGAATATTTAGGATGATTTCTAACAATGCTGCAATAATGAGTTTACGTGGAACGAGACTTTTCCTGTGCATTAGAGATTATTTTTTGTGGACTAATGGACCACAACTACCAACCCTCCACCAGACTGAGCCCAGAACTAGATGGTGCTCGGTTACCACCACTGACTGCTCTGGCAGGATCACAAAAGAGGGTCCCAGCCAGAGATGGAGAAAAATATAGAAAAAAAATTCAAATTCACACACACACACACACACACACAGGCTCGCTGGTCTAACAGAGACTAGAGAAACCCCAATAGTACGGCCCCCGGACACTCTTTTAACTCAGGACTGAAGTCACTCCCAAGGTTCATGCTTCAGCCAAAGGTTAGACAGGTCTATAGGGCCAAGAAAAACACATGTGAGGGATGTGCTTCATATTTCAATCATGTGTAAGAGACTAATGGGTACACCAGCCCAAAAGCGAAGATGAGAAGGCAGGAAGGGACAGGAAAACTAGATGAATGGAAACAGCGAACCTGGAATGGAGAAGGGGAGAGTGTTAGCAACCAATGTCACAAAACAATTCGTGTATTAACTGTTTATTGAGAAACTAATTTGTTCTGTAAACTTTCACCTCAATCACAAGAAAAAATAATTTTTTTCAACTTTGAAAAATGAGTATAAATGTACTGTGAATAAAATGTTAGCTAATATTGATCATGTAATTTAAACAAGGAGCCCTCGTGGCGCAGTGTTTAAGAGCTTGACTGCTAACCAAAAGGTCGGCAGTTCGAATCCACCAACCGCTCCTTGGAAACCCTATGGGGTAGTTCTACTCTGTCCTGTAGGGTCACTATGAGTTGGAATAGACTCGAAAGCAACGGGCTTGGTTTTAATTTAAACAAGCTAGTTATTTATGATATAAACAAGTTTGCTGTTTCTGGTGTAAGGGTGAGGTGTGGGAGGGAGCAGAGGGAGATTAGCAATGGGTGGGGAGTCAATGGTAGAGCAAATGAAATTGTTTTTTAAAAAACTTTCAAACCTACTTAGGTGATTTAACCAGGAGAGAGATTTCTTAAGAGTTACACCTCAATTCCCTAGGCATAGTGTTTTCTTTCATTTTTAATGAGCCATTTAAAAAATTTATTTATATAAATGACATTATTTTTGACAAGCGAAATATTTAAACTCTCAACAAACTTGAACACTTAAAATCTAAAGTAAACACAGAAATAAAATATACAAAATAATCCGTGAATATATACAGCTTAAAAATGTTAACCACATTTAGAATAGTACTTACCATGACTTGATGTTAGCAAAATCACTTAAAATTTTCAGAATTCTCATGTTTCCACACGTATGAATTTCCATACTTGAGTAATGCTAGTCAAAGTAGCTGTCCCATGGCATATTTGACCAGTAGAGTGGATCATTTTGAAGATCCCCCCCCCCTTTCTCTATGACAAAACCATTTTCACTA